CTACCGTTTAAGCCGGTACATAAAAAATTGGACGATATGTATGGCGCATAAAAAATAACACATCAAATCACTCCCTTCATTGAATAATGAGTAGAGCTTCCCTTATGGTTAGTCTCATTAACTTTAAAACTGAAATATTGAATCAGAGTTTTCTCAACGGCAGAGGTAACAGAACTTTCCATTGTGATGACATTTCTCGATGAATGAACATTGTCATACGCCTTCCCAATTGCGTAGATTTTACGCGCTATATACCCCACATATTCCCGATAGGTTGGTATCAGGATTACATGCCGGCCATGGCAATAATGGGTTGTTATTGAGATTGCAAGTGGGATCGTGTACTTCGCGAATTGTGGATCGATGCGTTCTCATACATGAAGGCGAAGTGTTTGTTGAGGTTTTTTCTAAAACCTTGACGACAGCGGGCAACTGTATGCCGCCATTTTTGCACCTAGTTGGACAGTGTGGCAACTGTGTATGCCATATCCATTACATTTATTTTGATCGCGTTCGCCCGAGTAGTTCCCAAGTCTTTTTGCGTTCTTTCTATAGGCTATTCATCAAAGTAACCAAAAACGACGTGGCTCACGAAATGGCCAAATACTCTTCAGTTTGGCGGAGTTTTTCCAGGAATGTTTGTTCATTAGATTTTCGCTTTTTTTCCGGACCGAAAATATCCGATCAGTTCAGCTCACCTCATTTTCTTTTCTTTAACGACAAAGGTCGGGCTAAATATGAGGTATTATGGCGACTGAAATTGAGTATGGAGATGCGAAATGGAACGACAGTGGAGAAAAAAACGAAAAGAAACCGTCGACAAGGCCGAAAACGAAACCCCGCTTCCCACTAGCAGTGAAAGGAGACTGGCTTGGGAGAGCGGCACGTATAAACGAGTCTAAGCCAGGTTCCATAGGTTGAGACGGCAATCAACCTAGTTGATTTCACACGCTATGCCAGCCACGCACCACTTCCGGATGTGGGCGGGCATAGCTGATGCAGTGAAGCTATCGCTGTAAATAGACGACCAGTTTCTATTTCGATTCAGGAGCGTAGCGTCACCCTTTTGAGTGCAGCCCAGTCCATATTAGTAATGGAAACACTTCCTATGAGTGCCTTATCCCGACGCGTGCCTTTGACGTAAACTTGTGAACGAAAAAGTGTAATAGAAGTGAATACAAGCCTAGCCGCGTAGCAAGATATGTTTTCATTGAAACAACCACGTCCAAATGATTTTAGAACCATCAAAGCGAAAGTGCGCAAAAATCGCTTTCTCGTGGCCATACACGTTTTTTGGATTAACTTGCATTACTGCGACTCCCTACAAGTTTAAAACATCGAACAATTATGGAAACCTGAAGTTATACACTTTGAGACTCCAAAATTTATTACCAAAAATAAACCACAAAAATACTCCAGAAATGGATTCCAACAAAGTTTATTTTAGGAACAGGCAATATTTTGGTGCGTAGCACCTTTTCTGGTTCTGGAGTATTTAAGTTAGGAAGTAGGTTAATATCTTGAAAATAATAATAACTTCCAAATTAAGTTAATACTGAAAACATTAACTAAGTTACTAACTTAAAATATTCCAGGGCCAGAAGGTGCTACGCACCGAAATATTGCCTATTTCCAAAATACACTTTTGGGATTCCTTTTAGGAATACTTTTGTGGTTCACTTTTGGTAATAAGTTTTGGAGTCTCCAAGTGTACAAACATTTAGATCGACATGAGGCTCCGCGACAGCACAATCTTGGTAATGAACATTCTGTCGCATACAAATTTTGCGTATTTACAGCTCAAAATCCACAGTTATGCGGTGACCAGGCGGCGCACGCAAAATCGTGGCGGTCCCACGCAGCCAAAAATGCCACAACGCGCGACGCCATCAACGTGTTGAACGAATAGGACCAACGTGCTGTTGAGGAGTAGCCTAATCCTAGATTCTCAATCACATGAATCAAAATTAATCTCAAGAGTTCTTTCACTGCAGAATGCCCCCAAACCATTGAGGAGACACCGCCGATGTTTTTTCAAGACACCAGTAGTGGTCTCTCCTTATAACGCGGCGGTGCGAGCCCGATTTGCCAACCCATCTACACATGAACATCGTGTCATCGAAAGAAACTACCTGAGGAAACATAAAAAAGAAAAATTTAAATTTGACATCGAACAGGAAATGTGCCCAGAACATCCCGCGCTCAAATCTCTCTCATTCATTACAGAAGGGAGCCACTAATGTCGATGAAACTGAGTCAGGCATAATGCCGGCTCTATTCCTTGTCAAACTATGCCGTTCGATATCGTTAAAATGCGAGCCACGGTCCATTTTGAAACCGGAATCCCGCAATCTGCAGCCAATTCCCAGGCAGCTTTGTTAGATCGATGTCAGGATTGGCATAAACGGCGTTCTACTTCAAGACACGTTTTGATTTCCGTCCAGCTTTCTTCTACAGAAGTTTGGGAATGATTCCTGATGACAGCTGCAACTGTACTCTTAGGTTCCTGTTCATTGTTGAGTTAATTAGGGATTTGGAGACCACTCTTGCCAAGGCGACGTAACGCATCATTTCCAATCCAGTCTTCGTTCGTGAGAAGCGTTACACCGCAACACCCGGACACCCCGGTGCACAATAGATTGCACCCTATAAAAAACTTAGTTTTTGAGAGAGGCCGAAACTTTTATTGATTCTGCTGTTGATATATTTCCTGGGGAAGTAGATAAATAATGTTGACACAATATTCAGTTAGACACACTGTCTTTGAAAATTTTAGAGTGAAATATTGATTTTTTTGGCGGTGCACAATAGATTGGACGATTGAGATATTCCATTTTTCCGACTTTTTTTGCCTGCTTTTTAAGTTTGCATGTACTCACGTATTATGTGAAGTATACGCGTTTCACAAACGAAGACTGGATTCGAAGTGAAGCGTAACTTCTTCTTGACAAGGGTGATCTCCAAATCTCTAAGGAACCCTTCATTCCCAGGAGTACAGTTGCAACTGTGATCAAGAATCATTCTCAAAACTGGCTTAAACACATTGGCGACAATGTCGCCCGATGCCGGGCGACACCCCTTGAATTTTATTCCTTTGCGCATATTCCAAATTTTGAGCGGTGCTATATTAACCCGGAATACGTTGTCAAACTTGTAATGGCCACGTTCTTTGAACATCTTTCACAGTGAAAGTTTTAGAGAAGGGTTGCTTGGAATTGCTTCTTCAGTGATAAGGTTGTTCTTTCTTGATGTAGAAAGCTGCCCTTTTGTATGCTATTAGCTAGCTCAATGATACAACAATTGGCAAAAAAGAGATTTGTGTTCAACCTCATTTGTGGATTCTACAGTGGAAAATTGGAATTTTCCGAGAGCGTTCCGAAGTTTCACCTTTGCGGGACGGGGAGATTTTTGCTTGGTTTGCAGCCATTAAGCATTTGTACGAGACAAATGATGTTTCAGCAGTTTCCGCATTGTGTTCTCATTGATTTGGTATGTACACCGTATGGAAGCGTTTCAGCATTAGGACGCAATTTTCGGGAACACCCAAAAACTGCTTGGTCGCCAATGTGTTTTACTAAAAATTAACAAAACTCATCCTGATAT